CATATGAGGCGATTAATGTTAAGTATAATGGACAATGTATTGACCTCCAAAGAAGTCAAAGTAACTGTCCCAACACATTCGTTACCATCAGTAGGCGATATCATCATTTTGCCAGATTGCCCGCTGAAATTCAGAGACCTTCCAGAACCCGTGTCTAAGAACTATCAACAGGATTTTCGTGACCATCCTCTGTGCTATACCCTGATGACTCCAGACCTAAACAAGAACATGTCACTGACTCGAAGTCTTCAGGTGAAAGAAATCGGCAATATTGGATTTGAGGTGGTACAAAGAGTTCCCACTAACAAGAGAGGATCGGTGAATACAGCAGTTATTCGGCCCTATCCAGAGGACCAGATTCAGCCTTCTGAAATCCAAAGGTTTCGAACCGATGCATATTGCGGATGGCAATCGCATCTGGCAAACTCTCTCCTGAAATTAGCAATATTAATACCATTAACCGCGTTTTCGGAAAAGTGTAATTTTGAAAGTAGAACTGACGCCAGAAATTTCGCTGTCGCCGTTCGAACACACGGAAATGGAGGGACCGCAAAAGTTTCGTTAAATGAATACGAAGAAAGGGGAGTTTTAATCAACACTTGCTCGCCATTTGGTCATACAAAGGTTATCACTATTGCTCGTCACGTGATGTTAGGACGTCACGTGCTTAGCGTTAGAACAGTAACCAAGGAGACATTTATATTGTCCGGTGTTGTGATTGGGCCAACGTACAAGTAATATATCGTGTTTGATTCCTTTTAATCTTTTAAGGAAGATGATTTTAGCACCGAAAGGTCAGTGTATAATCTATTAACCCCAAACCGTCATCAAACTTTAATAAAATTTACGAGATTGACGAGAATAGAAAAAATGGCAGTTTTGTTCAACTCAAGGTTTCTTTACAGAGTTTGCACAACCACTTATTATTGGCCTAGACAAGGGAAAACCAAAGGGTCCACTTTTCAAACATTTTTTCTACTTCTGTTGTTGTTTCTTACTTTATCTATGGACCATTTGAAATTCCAGAGCAATTAGCTGTGAAAAA